TGAGATTTTTTCAGCTTTTGGTTCGAGAGCCATTAGTATTTTTTGACGCAAAGTTAGAAGCAACTGTCAAAACTGTTCTTAGATCTATTGAAGGAACACTCCATGAATATGGATAACGCGATTAAAGGAGCGATATAAATAATCAATTCAACAAGTAATCATAAAAGAAGGATTTTTTGTACAGGCGTTTCTCTGCGTCTCTTTGATATCCTGTCTTTTTTTTTTTAATTTAAAAACGGATTGTTTGGTTTATTCAGCACGTTTTAGAGTTATTAATTTGTCTTTTGTAAACAACTTTCTCTTAATTGGATCACCAATTACTTTTAGTTCATAGTTTGGTTGACAAAAAAAGAAAAAGATTAATCGAATTTTAACACCATAAAAAAAACTGCATTATTCTACATAAAATTTGAAAGAGACATAATGAGTGATCTAACGATCAATGTGAAAAGTAAGAAATTGTAATCGAATACAAAATGACCGGTTCGTAGACGGATCAGTGAGAAGGAGAAGGGAGTGTTAAATTAAAAATAGAAGTAGTTTTTGTGGTATTGATTTGAATTCTCTTAGATTGATATTTGTTTGTTGACAAAAAAAAATATATTCTCAAAAATACTACAAAAATAAGTTATTTTTCCAAATTAGGGTTTAACTTTTAAGCTTATGAGTAACTTTGCTGTATATAATTCATTCTAAATGTAAAAAAACAAATATTGAACTGATAGACAAAGTTGGGACGCCGGAGACAAAGGCAGAGTTATGGCGCTGGTTTATCTAACGGCATCACCGTTGAAGACTCTCGTCTTTCCAGCGCCACCGCTCTTCACCGTCGAAGAGTGTCACCTTTCTAGCGCCACCACTATTTTCACCGTCGCGTCCGTCTATCGGTCGCTCGTCCTCTCGCATCTTCTTTCAACGTTTGGAGCCTCCCCGTCTCGTTATGAGCGTCAAGAGGCAAAGAAGATCAATGAAGAAGTTGCAGACTGTGCCTATGGCCCCTGTGGAAGAGAAGTTCACTCGTTGTAACCCTCTCGATTTCCCTATCGTGAGTGTTTTGCGTTGCTTCGACGATTTCTTTTATGTCTCAGTAATCGATTATAGGATTATTTTGGGATTTTAATAGATGTCTTTTCCGTATCGTTGATATTGTGCATATACAACCCATCAATTAGTCCAGTTTGATTTAGAAACTATATATTTGTGATTGTTAGGTTATCTCAAGGTTACTTAGTATATGACTTATCAAGCTCTTTGGTTACAAAACTGTGAATGATCAAACTCCTTTCCACCTCGTCACACAGGAATCAATTAGAGAATATGCATTCAATGATAACTTATTCCGAGTTTCATGCATATAATATATTTTCTCGGCTCTTTGATTGACGTGTAGTTGGTCAAATTCCATTTCTTGTTACCTTGACTTGATTCACAATCTTTAGTAATTTCTGATTATGAAGCTGTCTTTTGCATTTTTTGGTACACCTTTCATGTCCCTTTTACATGAAATAAGCATAAGGTTTGGTTTGTATACCGATGCTAGGTTTACCTTCACATGTATCAACATTATGCAAATACTCTAAATAATGGTGACTTTTCTTTTGCATGGTTCTTTAAGCATTGCCCTATCATTGCAATTATTATGTATATGATGTTTGGGATTTTTTTTGCAGGAATGGGAAACACCAAAGCCATGGAAGAGGCCAGATATATTCTCCAAGTTTAGTCCTTTGAAGACACCATTGCCTCCTCCTATGCCTTACGATCCTCCAAT